TAAAAATTGCACGTTTTAGGGAGTTTTGATCAATTCCAATGAAATTAGAATTTAAAAAACAAAAATTTTTCGCGCGTATTTTTTGATGTTAAAGCTTGTGCTTGCTCCCCTTTGCCTTCTAAGTTATAACACATAGTCCCAAACTCAAGAAAGAAAATTTAAGATAGATCGTTTAACCTATTAAAGAAGGGCCTCAATGTGTAATGATGTTGAAAGAATATGTTTGTAATAAATAAAGCAATAAGGAAAATGCTTATATTCAGTTTAAAAAAAAAAGGAGTGTGGTCATATATAACATAAGAGCATTTCTTGTTGAGGTAGGCCAATTTCCTCTAAAAATTGCACAATTAGGGAGTTTTGATCAATTCCGACGAAATTAGAATTAAAAACAGAAAAAAAATTGTTAGGGTTAAAGCTTGTGCTTGCCCTCCTTTGCCTTCTAAGTTATTTAAAAACATAATATAATAATAATAATAATAAGGTAAGAACTTATATAGCGCCATTTAAAAAACGGAAGTAGTTATCAGTGGCGCTTCATGTTATTGTTGGAAAAGTAAAAAAAAATAGTCCCAAAACTTGAGAAAGAAAATTTAAGATAGATCGTTTTACCTAAAAGAAGGACCTCAATGTGTAATAGGCCTATGAATTGTAATAAATAAAACCACGATGAAAATGCTTATATTTAGTTCCAAACACACGCGTGTGCCCTATATTAATATTAAAATAAGCCATGCCGTATTGTTTGCTATATTTGGGGGGGGGGGTATCACACCAAGTCATAAATTAATAACCGGGAAAATTATAACCTTTGCCCCCCCCCCGACCCAAGACCCCTGTTACGCGCCTGCTTATAAGTGGGGCCCCCTTACTTTGAAAAACGTTCCGCCGGCCCTGCACATTACTAGTGCCACTGTTATTGATATAAGTTCCAATCCCCTCTTCCCCCACAAATAGATTAAAAATGAAGAAACCAGCATCTGTTTAGCGTGACTGTTCACCTAGGGCCCGTTCGAGCAAAAAACGCCAACCGTATTCCGTTTATTTCACCGGGTAATCGCGCTAAGCACTCAGCGGGTGGTCGAATGTTCGAGTAAGTTTTAGCTCACGGTAAATACGTGTAACGAAACTACTTCGGAAGTAAATTTCAACTTATTCCATGGTCAACAACCCATTCTTTGTTTACTTGCTACTGCTGCTATATAACCGGCCCACGTACACACAGCGCGGCACGGTGGAACGACAATGTAGCCTAATAACTTGGCTGCTTTAAAATCTGAACGTTGACTAGGTTATTCAAGATTATTTCTCCGAATAATGGTAAATCTACAAATCGAACGCGCAGCTATGCTACTAAATTTTGATTTCGTCGTGCATTGTGTGAGGAGGCGAAGGAAAGCTGCAACCACGCATGGAGCGTACGGTAACCTATAGAATTTCGCGCTGGGCTGTGGACAAAACATTTTGAAAAACAATTAAGGTTGATTTATCATCGCCTCCGGCTTCAAAATTCAAAATTGTCGCGGATAATCCAGATGGTAAGATAATTAGACTAGTGTCCGAGCGGTTTGTGTGTACCGGTGAATTAAATCGCACGGATATTTTTTCGCTCGAACGGACCCCTACCCGGTTTTCCCGGGTAGCAAGTAGGAGTTTTGACCATCAACAGTCTTGTTAATGGGTGATTAGCCTCATGATAAATAAATTAAACATCCAATGTAAAACCTGAAACACTTGGTTTTTCAGTGACTTTTGTATTTTGAGACATTAACGAAAGAAGGCTAAGTTGCACTAAAGTGAAATGTTTTCGCAGTGGAACAGTGCATGATGTTGCAGCAAATGTAGACAAGCGGCTAATCTGGAAAAACTTGAAGCTGTTTTAATCCATTTTGGTGCAAACATGGTACAAAAACTGCACCTCAACCGAATAACTGGAATCTGGTATTAGTGATTATAACAAACTTGTCATGGACAGATCATTTTTAGCCAAGATTGTACTCACTGTTTGTCCCATTTTAGACAATACATATTTTCAAATACGTAAATGAACGAGCCCCAGTAAGCATAGCCAGAATATTTCTTGGGCGGGTGGGGGCAGTGTGGGTCCGTGAGATTGCTACAGCTAGGAAAAGCCAAAAGTAAAAATAATGGAATTACGGTAATCGTGTTACCTTGGATGGCCAATTACACAATGTACCTTGTAAACAAATTTAAATGAAAATGGAATTGTCGTCCGAAATGAAATAATTATAATGTAAAAAGAACATATGTAAGCATTGATTTACCTAAACACAATTTAAAATGCAACACAAATCAATTTTGAGATGGAGTTGATCATCAATGGGTAATTCAGGCTCAGTTTCATTAGTGCTTAGTGCTACCCAATTAAAATACTGTACCGTGCAATCAATTCGAAACACTGTGCAATCAATTTGAAACATTTTGCTACCCATTTGAAACACTGTGTTACCCAATTTATACACTGGGATACCAATTAATTTGAAACACTGTGCTACCATGGAGGTATGGTGCTACCCATTTGGAACATCGTGCTACCCATTTAAAACGAATGCTATCCATTTGTAACAGTGTGCTACCCATTTGAAACTGCGTGCTATCCATTTAAAAACACTGCGTGCTTTATCCACTTTCACCACTTCGTTCTACAGAACTTTAAGTTTCTATAATGAGAGCTCACCGGAACAGAACTCACAGGTGCTCACGAGAAAATAACATCTATCTTATCCTACCCCCCAAAAAATGTAGATAAATATACCACAAATGATCGAATACACGCCTCTCACGAATAAGTGCCTCACCAACATGTTTTTAGCACTAAGATATTTTACTTCAATTTCAATTTATTTAAAACGGAAAGATAAAATGTATAAATAAACATTCGAAACATCATATGCAAATACAAAATAGTAACAAAATGATCTAAAAACATTTCCTTGGGTTACTCAAAATGAATACCTAAAGGAAGTTAATGCGTCAGCACACGTTTGTAATAGGCCTACTATAACACATAACCATGGATTCTTTGCGCAATTTACAAATACATATAGAACCAGTGACGTAACGACGAGCCATGGGGCAAGGGGCGAGAAAATGTTGGGGTTCTTATATATCAGCAAATTTATTTTCGCTTAGAGATAGGTTTCATTTTTAGGGCTAAAAGGCCCTATTTCATTATAAGACAATGTTAACAAAATATAATGACGTGACTATTGAACAATATAATTAAATATTTTGCAAACATCTTTTTTAAGTGAAAATTTACGTGCAATAATATTATTAGATCTGTATAAATCACTTACGTACGTTTCATTAGTGTGCATAGGTTACCGGTACATTTTCATTCATGAATATATGGATTTTCCCAATGAAGCTATAATTAGACGATATCAAACAATCATTCAATTACTCGTCCAGGGAGTACGGAGGCTGATCCCCAATCAATTTTATACTTTCATGTATAAATGTTTTTACATAATATATTTAATACGGTAACATGATGCGGTAACATGATGCTTAATCATGTATTTAATTATTGTATTGATGTTTTGGGACGGAGGCGGATTCTATGGTGAGTGAGAATATTAGGATGAATATGTACACTATTGTCAATAGGGTGCTGGGTAGTTGTAGAACTTGAGGGAAAGCACACAGTCGTTACGCCTCTGGTAGTGCTAGTGAAAGGCATTGTGGCCAATCCGGGCTCCTTTTGATGGGAGCTGTAAATTTATATGTCGAGGAATGAAAGAAGATATCCTTGGACAGCGAGAGTTGTTGAGGACAGTCTTCCCTTTCCGTGCACTGATGTATATTTTGAATTTTTTGCACTGTCCGTGTGTGTATATAATTATACACACGCATTCAAAAATAATCGTATTTTTTTGAGGAAGTGGATATATTTACGTCGCCGTAAACAAATCAGGAAACGATATATTCACGTAAAACAGAGAGCGCATGCGCAGTCACACTTAAATAAACTTATTGCTTCTGGTTAAATGTACGTTGGGTTCAACTTTCAGGACTTAAAATTAAAATCGGTGCCGTGGTGCCCAAGCTCACCACGGCACTGATTTGCAAAGGCCCTTTTGTCGGCAAGTTTCCATGAATCCATGGTAGCCATACGTGTAAGTGTTTATAGTCATGTTAAATTACATTACCTTGACCAAACATTTTTTGTACAAATAAGTTTGGGAATATACCGAATAGTGTATACAGTATTCAAATATCTGTGTATGTAATTTTGTTACTTAGTCCACAATTAAAATGTTGGCCTGTTTATAATGATGATACAGTAGTGGCGACATGATTTGTCTTTTTGCAAGCGAAATGTCCCAGATTTGTGGCAGGTGGTGACAAGGGATCATGTGGTAGGATAGGTAGACGAGGCGCAAGAAAAAAATCTGGCGCAAAGCCCTCGAAGTGTTTTCTGTTTTTCACAATATTTTAGTTGATTTTGTTAATAATCCAATCTTCCTCTAACTAAAGTTTGTCGAAGAAATGTATTTGGGAATAATTTTTATTCCTCTGCAAAAGTGGTCAATCTTTCCCGATGTAGGCCAACCTTGCCCATTGACTCCACCACTGATATAATTAAAAAAAAACCATGATGTATTTGTTAAATGTTTGCAATGTAATCTTTTCTTTTGTATTTATTTTGTAGGCCTAGGCACTGCATTACTGTACAGTACTTACATGATAAGCCTAACAGCACACATCAAGATAATTTAATAGGACTTAGTGGTGGGGATTCCAGTTCTATGCCTTGCTAATGCATCGTTACAGTAATTCGTCCATCAGGGGGCAAGCTTCCTGCCTTGCTACTTGATCCATGTTTTCATTAAATATCGACCTTGATGATAGCAGTGAAATTATTATTCTTGTGTAGAATTTGTAGATAATTAAGCTGGTCCTATGAATAAGTTGTTAGTGTGTTGAGCCAAATAAAATATTCTTCAATATTGAAAGTTTAACATGTTTCTTATGACTGACGTGGTCAATGAAATCTTAAAAAGTTACACTTAATATTATACGAACAAGAATTTTTTTAAGCCTTTTTTTTTCAAAAAGCACGCCTTTGTACTTCTGTACGAAGTGTACGAAGAGTACCGGTAGTCATTTTTACTACAATCTTGCTTCCTTTCTGAGTTTGCTTTATTGTGAACAATTGTTTCCCATTATGTCTTGTGTAGATAATGGGAATTTCAATTATTACATTTATTGTTAACTTATACAACGTTTTAACTTTTAACCATTTTCTATTGAATTAGTTGTTAATTTCGCATAAACTAAACAGTATTTTTAAATATGTTTGGTTTATATACAATTAATAATAGTTTATTGTATATAACCAAATTGGTAATTTCGCATGAATTAACTTTTTAAAGAGATATTTATAAAACGTTGACTGGTGTTTGAATATTTAACAACTAAAAGTTTTCTTGATAGTAACCCAAGGGTACTAGTAAGATTAGTCATGCATAGTACCTATTACTATTTTATTTATTTAATTTCTATTTTTGTTAAAACTGTTCCTTCGAAGTTTTTGTGCTTTTTTTTTTAGTTAAGTATTGATTGTTAATGTTAAGATTCTTTTCACCATTTTCTTTTGTATATTTCGTAAACCCGCACTGTGAGTGCCACCGATACGAAGGTGAAGTGTCACAAATAAATAAAATAAACTATTAAAGGCATTGATTGCTCTGGCAACAATACCCTTTAAATAGTGGAAGTTTCTAAGTCACTCATGCAATGGTGACCCAGTGCTTGACCACTTGGCAACATGAGACTCCACCAGCTTAGCTGTGTTGGTGAATTATGAGATGATGGTTACATTTAGGCAATAACAATTAAGTACGGTGCTTAAGGCTTAAATAAAATCTGAAGAGTCACGCTAAACAGGGCTCAGGATTCGGGCGATCAAGAGAAAGTTCTGATTTTTCACAAAGAATGTAGCTGCATGTCATTCAATCTGAAATGATTACTATTTATGAAAACATTTCCTCTTTTTTTACAACTATTTAGATGTGGCACACCTTCAATCACTCTATCATTGTTGGTAACATTTTGGAAGTGTATTTTAGCATTTGTTTCAAGTGGATGCATTTCTCCCTCTTTTGTTTAATAGATTTAAAACAATAACATGAACATTTCATTTTGTGTAGAAAGCCATAGGCGTTCTGCAATTATATAATGCAAATGCCAAATTATTAATTTCAAGTATAAATGATATCTTTTTTGTTTCAGGAACATGTTAGGCTTAAGGTTCTTCAGAGCATTGAGCAGGAAATTCTTGATTATAAAGTCTGTTAAAACGTATTTGTTAGTTTTAACAATAATCCTTTTCGGCATTTACAAATTGTCATTCAAAACGTAAGCCAAAAACTGTATTTGATTTATTGTGATAAAATAAATTATTATTATTATTATTTATTATTATTATTATTATTATTATTATTATTATTATTGTTATTGTTATTATTTTTATAATTGTTATTATTATTATTTTTATTATTATTATTATTATTATTATTGTGATTATTATTATTATTATTGTTATTATTATTACTATTAATATTACTATTAATATTATTATTATTATTATTATTATTATTATTATTATTACTATTATTATTATTACTACTATTATTACTATTATTATTATTACTATTATCATTATTACTAATATTATTATTATCTCGGCCAGGAGATATATGTTTTCGTTTCGTGTGTTTGTGTGGGTGTGGGTGTGTGTAACGCTTTCCTGTTTCAGTTTTGTCCTAGACAAGATATCTCAAAAACTAATCAACTGACATGAAGGGAACTTTCTTGGAAGTTTAAAGAAGTTACAAGGAATAAATTTTGTAGTTTTACCTTCATTTCAATGTTAATTATGTACTGTATTATTGTATTGTTATACTGTATGTCATTATTTCATGTATTTTTACAATTTAGCGGAAACGCTACTTAGTATAGGCCTAGTGAAAATCAGGGCCCCCGTGATAATTTTTTGGAGACCAAAGTTTCTTTACTGATTTAGCATCACTAGGGTATGAATAAAAAGTTGAGATGGGTAGAGGAAACCTCCAGAAAAAGAGCGGTGGCCATTTTTAAAATGGCCGCCACAATTCAGTAATTGGCTCATAATTGTACTTATATTCAATGAAAAAGTTGGTGTATAAGTATATGTTATTGGGGTCACTGAATCCAATAAGACATGTTTTGAAAGCCTAGAATGGCAGCCATTTTGAAATTCAATATTTCAGTATAATTCCACTTCTCTATGAAAAATGGAAAATTTGAGTCTAATCATATGTTATTGGTCCCTCTTAGTCCAATAAACATAGTTTCAAAAAGCTAGGATGGCTGCCATTTTGAAATTCAAGATAGCCGGCCAAAAAAAACTCTTAAAAAATTGAAAGTATTGGTATGTAATTCCACTTATCGATTAAAAATGCTAAATTTGGTGTGTAATCATATGTTATTGGTGTGTAATCACATGTTAATTTATTATCTGTGACCAATAAATAGCAACATACGGTAGTTATTTAAAAAACCTTGTGTGACAGCATACTTATTTCCAATATATCGGTCAATATTATGTTCACACTTCGGCTTATAAAATTCAAAATTTGACAATTTTCAGAAATGAATAGTACCATTTATATCATGCAATAAAACGTGTCTTTGTTAGATAAACAAAGAGACCCAACTTAACTAAGAAAACTATCACTATTGGCTTATAACAACTTTGTAAAATTACTAGATAATTTAAAATGATCAACACAAGTAAGTTCATCATCATTCTCGTCATCAGACGACGAATCCTCACTTGTTTTGACATCACTCGCATCACTATACTACCGTCACATATACCGATAGTCTTATTTTTGTACCCATTCTATAACAACTCAACGTTGTCTAATTCATTCTTCACATATACCGATAATCTTATTTTTGTACCCATTCTATAAAAACTCAACGTTGTCTAACTCATTTAGATCTCCTTTACTGTATATATTGTATTTTATTAGCTGTATTATTTAAGTCATTTAAGCACCTGTCTCTTATACACATCTAGATGTGTATAAGAGACAGGTACTTACATGATAAGCCTAACAGCA